CTCAGTTGATTGGGTGTCATCTTGCAAAGTGAAAGGTCATGGGTTCAATTTCCCGTCAGGGCACATGCCTAGGTTACTGGTTTGGTCTCCAGTTGGGGCACATACAAGAGGTAACGGATTAATGTTTCTCTCTCATGTCAATATTTCTCTCCCTCTCTTTCTTCCTCCCTTCCTCTCTCTCAAAACAAACAAACAAACAAAAACCCACAATGAAAGTGCTGTCATGCTGGTGGTATGTACCCCTGATATGACCTGGTAAGAAAGGCACCTCACCTTTGAGCTTTCTCCCCCAGAACCCATAACCCCAGCCTACTGATGAGGAAACCATCAGAAAATTCCCAACTGAGGGACATTCTACAAAATGCCTCATTCGTACTCCTCACAAATAATGAGGAAAGTACAAGAAATTCTCATAGTCAAGGGGCACTAAGGAGATAACTACATGTAGCTGGATGGACTCCTACAACAGAAAAGGGACAGTAGGTAAACTAAGGAACTCTGAACAAAGCATGGCTTTTAGTTATAAAAATCTATCAATATTGGTTCATTAATTATGACAAATGTACCACATTATCCTAAGATGATAGGGAAACTGGGTGTAGGGTACATTGAAACTATGTTATCTTGACAATTTTTCTGTAAATCTAGAACTATTCTAAAATTAAGGGTTTTTTAAATGTAAAAGTACAATTTTTATTATGGGTTTAAAAAACACTTAAAATCCAAGAAGTTTTTCTGAGCAAACAAAATTTCTGAATTATAATGAAGTCACATAAAAATATATTCACATAAATACTTTTATTTTAAAAATTAGTTTAGGCATCATGTATTAGAGGAGATCTTGTCATGTCTGATTTTCCTAAATTTTATAAAAATCAAATAACTTTTTGCCTCTTGTCTCTCCTTCTAATGCATAATAGATTTATAATGGGAATCAGCCTTAATTCCTCCTTGGGTATAGAAGAGGTATAACAAATGTATATGAGAAATGTAATATTCCCGATGCCATTTAGAAAACTGTTGAAAATGAAGTAGTTGCACAGTGATGCCACCACTTTCACAGCACTGAAAAGTGTCAGCTTAAAGGCCAATTCCAAGGCTGCTGGAATGGGGGCAGAGGAGTGGCAATAACACCACAGGAAGTGAAGTCCCATGGTAAAAGACTGGTTCTTCTCTTTTATGAACACATTTCATCTGCATCTATAATTCATCTCAAGCCACTTCTAAAAACACAAACAAGCTGGCAAAGTGTTTGTCTCTGCCAGGCTGCCAGTACCCACCCCCCTCACTGTGAAAGGCCAGGACCCCATCGCTGATCATTGAGGAAGAGAATCACGGTGTCCTTCCAGAATCAGGAGGCCCTGCTCCAGGGCCTGTCTGGGCTCCTAGAGGCCAGTGCCCACCCTACTACAGTCTCTGCCCACCCACTGTCAAATGAAAAACAAAGCTGGACTTAGTAAAGGGAGACTTATTTGAAAGGATGATTGCAAGAGGGGACGGGGACTACTGCAATAGAGAATGCTATGACCAAGGTCAGCACATGTCTTAAGGGTTAGGCAACAAGATGTTTTCTTTCATAGGGAGGAGAGAACACAGCAAGAAAGGTCTGGGGAGCAGAATGAAAGGATGGCATGATGAGACAGTACCCTGAAGCCAGCCTATTCTCAGGAGGAGCTGTCTAATGGCTCAGGCTGAGGGTGACCCAAAGTTCAGGGACATGGAGGTAGGGGAGATTTTAACCAATTTTGTTAACAAGCATTTTGCTGCAATCAACTAGCAGGGACAAGCAGTTCAGCTAATCATTGCTGAGGCAAAGAATGGAAATTTGAAGTCTGTAATTGACCTTTTCATAGGTAAACAAGGGGGGACATCTATGACTTACCTAAGTCACACAGAGGGTGATTCTTTGCAGAGAGCTGTTTTCTGGAACACAAAAGGGTGAGGAGAATTCCTTCAATCCTCACTGTTTTCCAGGAGCACAAGGCTCAGGCCAAACTCAATATTGTCACCACTCAACTGGGGATGATAATTATAATAGTTATCTATGATTTTAATTTAAGTACTTTGCAAGTGCCAGGTGTGTAGTAAATGTGTTACAGAACAGACTGGGGGCAGGGGAACAGTTATTGGCCTACCCAGGGACACCAAAAACTATTACAGAACACACCCACACACAGGGGCCAAGGGGGGTTACTATATACAATTACCGAAAGGGCCCCCTCCAGGTTCATTATGTCCACCGCCTTATAGGAAAGACATCTCTCAATGCCAGAGATTTGTGAAAAGGAAAGGAAATGTTCATTTAATGCCATACAGACTCAAAGTAGTGACCTAATGTCTTCACTAAAATATCGAAGTTCTTTAAGAAACCCACAGATGTCCACAGTGCTTCCTTCTCCCCCTGCCCTAATTCAGGATACTGTAACTCCAGAAAAGAAGCAAACGTCCGTGTTTCAGGCTGCTGGCACCATCAGCTATGTCGAGGTCCAGGCAGGACCTCCAATTAATCCAAAGCCATGTGGCACCTTCTCATGGCCTATTGGCAAGAGTTCTTTCACCCTTCTTCCAGGCAAAGTCTCTCCTGCTTCCCAGGCCACTTGGCCAAAGGGAGCACCCTAAAGCCACGTGGTCCTCTTCTATCAAAGCTTCGGGGGTCTGCACTCTGACGAAACCACATGGCTCTCTCTCTCACATGGCTGCAGAGGTCCCCACTCTGCCAGAAGTGCGTGGCTCTCCCCTCTATTGCCACAGCCACACGTACTCTCCCTGCACTGCCACAGCCGTGTGGTCCTCTCTGCAATGGCTTCAAGGAGGGGGGTTCACCACTCAGCCAAAGCCAAGTGGAGGTTCTCTGCTAAAGCAGCATGGTGATTCTCTCTCACAGGGCCGTGGGAGTCCCCATTCTGCCAAAGACCACATGGTTCTCTCTCTAATGGCTGCCGCATCTGGATTTAAACCCCCCGCACCAATCTTCCTCTGCAGTCCCATTTCCGACTCCTCCCACAATCGGCTACACTTGCCAGCACTCCCCTATCCTTCCAGCTTTACTGGGCTGCCATAGTGGGTCTCAGCAGGCGTGGCCCCATGTCATGGAGCCAATCTTCTCCAAGTGTCCACACAGGCACTGTGAATCGGGGGACCTGCCTCCCAGTTATGTCTTGGGGGGTAAGTTACTTCCATCCCCTTGGCTCAGAGCATGGCCATGGCTATTTAACATCTATGCAACCAGTTAAAGGTTATAGATATGTTAAATGGCCACGCCAGAGGTTAGCCGTAAAGCTGTTGCTGTACAGAACAGCTCAATGGCCCTGCTCCATGTGTCCCTTCCCCCAATTCACACCTGTGGGGGAAGGGGTGAGGCCATCTTAATATTTCCTGGACACCTTGAGTTCTGGACCCCATTCCAAATTCCTTTTTGCCCCCCCCCTTGGCTGCACACTGTTTAAATGTACCATAAATATCTGTTCATTTCATTTACCTGTGAAATCCTTGAGGGTAGGGGTTGAGCTTATTTTATGTTTTCTTTGGTGCTAGTACAGTAACTAGAATCCACTGATCTGTTGAATTGGCCTTGAACAAGCCTCTGTCTCTCTACCTGTAAATAAAACATAATAATCTCCACCTCACAGAGTTGTTGAGAAAATTAAATAACATGGAGTCCAAGGTGCCCAAATACCTGACACATCTCTGGTGACCAGCGACAAAGACTCTCCTTGACCTAACTTTAGTCAGGCTCTTCCAGTGAGTTTCAGCATGAATCTTGCTGGGTCAGTTTAACAAAAATCCCCACCCTTGGTATATGATAAAATTCCTCATCCCTCAACCTTCATTTAGCAGAATTCCCCTTACCCCTGATGCTTGCTCTTAATATTCCAATCTACTACCCCAGACCCTGCTCCTTAGCGACAAATCTCCTCTTGTATTCCAAGTTGTGCCCCCTCTCTCTCCCCATCACAATCCCACCCCCACTGCAGTAGATTCCTGAATCAAGCCTGTCTCACCGCCTTTTACAACTGCCTTGAATAACTTAACACCAGTAAATGAATACCCTTCCCTTTTCTACCCAGAGTCCACACTAAGTATAAACAGAACTTTTCTACTGCCTCTGTTCATTCAATGCTGGCAGCGGTGGGGAGTTGCCCAAAACCAAACCCCTAGTGGAGCCCATGCTCTGAGTCAGACAGGCAGCCTAGCAAGAGGGCCCCGGTCTCAAACATTGAAACCCAGTCTTTCTCACTTCTATAGGCTGCGGGAGCAGCACCTGGGAGTTCAGCCTCAGTATCTGAGACTTTCCAAAAGTACAAGTGTTTGGCCACTTTATTTCACCCACCTTGGTCTAACCCTCTGTAATAACCTTAGTTGTTAAGGATTAGACAAAAAGTGATGGCTATGAAGCTGCCTAGTACAAGAAACAGCCGTCGCAGAGGAAACGCAGACAGGACCCACGTAGCAGGAAAAACTGAAGAAGCCCAACCATGGGGTGGTCTTCGACCTCAGGCCATTTACCCCAGGCAGGCCCGGGGCACCTGCCCCTCCTCCAGTCACTCCGTCCGACCGGAGGAGCTGTGAGACATCGATACCCTACGTGCAAGCCTCTGACAACTCGGACAAGACAACCACTGAGTTCCGACCAAAAGGAACCAGTCGTCACTAGTCCCCCGACGACTCCACCTGGTGCAAACTCAAGGAAGATTAGCTTGAGCTACTCCAAAGGGCGGACTGGCGCCTTAAACGCGGAGGGGAGAGCTGCGCAAGCGTCGAGATAAGATACGAATCAAGGTAGGATTCGTGCATGCGCTTTGGAAGCCTCATCAAAGAGGACTCGGGGCCACTGCCTGCGCTCTGAGAACGCCGATAGCTCGCCCACTCTCCAGCGCAGCGTTGACTAGAAAAAACGACCTGCGGACGGCTAGTGATTTAATTTCAGAATTTTGTTTTGCGCCTGCGTTAAGCCGGGCTGTGGTGCGCCTGCGCAGTTTTTGGTGTCGCGTGGGTGCAACTCCAGTGTGCCTGCGCGGTCTTTTGTTTCTTCCTGGTTAGTTGTATCAGGTAGTTAGTTCCAGGCCGGCTAGAAACGCTTGAGCACGGGGTTCAGAATGGCCCTCCAGAAGTGAAGCCTCAGAGGAGGCGCCGGGAAGGGAAGGGGTGTGAGGTCTCGGAGTGGACCTAGTGCAGCGCCGGGAGGGACCAGTGGGGGCCAACGCTCTAGACACCTGAAGGGCAGAGCTTTCCGACTTGTTAGGAGTTAACTCAGCATCGGTACCGCATTATGCAGTCATTATCAGGATGCAAAATAATGGTAAGTCATCCTGTTTATGGGTAACTGTCCGGGAGGGAGAAATGAGTGGGGGCCGCACCAACAAAGTGTTACAAAACAGAAAGAGGTCGTCCACCCAGCGCCAGCTGAACCAAACACTAATCACGAGAATTGCAGTGGAGAAACACTGATCATTTTATTGATCAATGGTGGCATCCAGGAAAATGGGAAATTACTGCTCAAAAGCAGGAGCGTGATGACGTGTAGGTTACAGATTAAATCGGGAGAAGTCAAAACACACGGTGGATTAGGGGTTCTGGTAGTGCTGGGTCTTGATTGGTGGGAGGTGAGGCGAGGATAATGACTGACTCTTCAGGTACTGAGGATGTCTCTGAGGTCTTTTCCGTGTCCCTCTGTTCAGTCTGATGGGAAAGTAGCCAGGGAGTCATTCCATTTTAGGGCTTGGGATCTAAAACATAGGTCAAGATGTTATCTTTTTCCTGCCAGAGGTCCAGACCAGTGACCATTGGTCAAGTCCAGGCTAGTGTCTTTTGCTGCCTGGTGTGTGTGTGTATGTGTGGCTGGGGTGGGAATTCCTGATTATCTAGGAGAAAGGCCAGGTCCCGGGCTGGGGGGGCGGGGGGGGGGGTGCGGGAATAGAGAAAGAGAGGGATATGATTTCTAGAACTAAGATTAAAACTAAATTTATTCAAAGTATAATGGTTTCTAAAGGTACATTTTGCTGGTGAATTAAGCCTTCTGGAAAGCTTGACAGAGCTTTCCAGAAAGCTCTTGTTTTTTTTCAGTCTCTGTGTGATACTGCCATAATAAAATTGAAGAAATTACTCTTTGGGCAGCCTGTTCCCAAAAAACCAAGTAGAGGTGATAAATCGTGGGTGTGGAGGGGAAGGTAGTCTCATGGCCAGCTGCTCCAGGAATGACTGTTCCACGTCAACCCAAGGTTTCTATGGGGCTCTCAGGGCTGTTTCATAAGGTCAACCAGACATCCTCTGGGAATCGTGTAAGATTCTCCAAGAAGCCATTTCACCCAACCAGTGTACACACTACTCTGGGAAGTGCCCTAGATTTTTAAAGATAATTTAAGAGAATTCTGGGATGACTGGTGGTTCCCCAGAAGGGTTTATCTTACAACCAACAGGAACCCATTTGGGCTGTTTACTAACAGCTAACCAAGGGCAGGCTTACATTGCACACTCTGGATGGTGTTTAATGTGACCAATAAGAAACTTTATATGAAGTTCACAGTAGGCTGGTTTATAAAGCCAAGACAAAAGGCACTCAGAGGTTAGCTCAGACTACTGTCATCTGACCCCCTTTCCCAGATTGTCATTTCATACCCCAGCAAACAGACCTTTCTGTAAGAAGCCAAGACACAGACCACTAGGGGAAAGTTATTTATGTAACTTGTACCTGACCGTCCCCTGAAAGTTGGCATGGGGCCAATAAATGTAGCACTCTTGAAAGCTATAATCAGGTTGACCATAGGACTCAATTTGCCTGGAATAACCCCAGTTTTTCACTTGTCCAGTCATTAAATATCTATAATCATAATTTTGAGCAGCAGAACCTATTCACATGTTAATACTTATACCTAAGGACTGGAGTGCCACCCATATATAATGCCCAGGCTAATGCCACCAAAGGCACCAACTGTGATGTTTTTCCCTTCTGAAGAAGTTTTACGTATTTCTAGGTTTCTTCCTGAGAACTTAAGATCTCATTTTTAAGACTTATTCTGTGTTTATTTTTTTAATTACTTTATTGTTGTTCAATTACAGTTGTCTGCATTTTCTCCCCACCACTCCCCCCACCCCAGCCAAACCCACCTCCCTCCCTTGCTTCCACCTTCCATGTGTCCTTTATAGTAGCTCCTGAAAACCCTTCCCCGCATTGTCCCCTTCCCTGTCCCCTCTGGCTATTGTTAGATTGTTCTTAATTTCAATGTCTCTGGTTATATTTTGTTTGCTTTTTCTTTTGTTGATTAGGTTCCAGTTAAAGGTGAGATCATATGGTATTTGTCCCTCACTACCTGGCTTATTTCACCTAGCATAATGCTCTCCAGTTCCATCCATGTTGTTGCAAAGGGTAGGAGCTCCTTCTTTCTTTCTGCTGTGTAGTATTCAATTGTGTAAATGTACCATAGTTTTTTGATCCACTCATTTGCTGATGGGCATTTAGGTTGCTTCCAGCACTTGGCTATTGGAAATTGTGCTGCTATGAACATTGGGATGCATAGGTTCTTTTGGATTGGTGTTTCATGGCTCTTAGGGTATATTCACAGCAGTGGAATTGCTGGGTCAAAAGGCAGTTTTCTGAGGAAATTCCATATTATTTTCCATAGTGGCTGCACCAGTCTGCAATCCCACCAACAGTGCACTGGGGTTCCCTTTTCTCCGCATCCTCTCCAACACTTGTTTGTTGATTTGTTTATGGTGGCCATTCTGACTGGTGTGAAGTAGTATCTCATTGTGGTTTTAAGTTGCATGTCTCTGATGGCTAGTGATGCTGAGCATCTTTTTATATGTCTCTGGGCCCTGTGTATGTCCTCCTTGGAGAAGTGTTTATTCAGGTCTTTTGTCCATTTTTTAATTGGCTTTTTGTCTTCCTGGAGTGGAGTCATGTCAGTTCTTTATATATTTTGGAGAACAAGCCCTTGTCCAAGGTATCATTGGCAAATATGTTTTCCCACACAGTTGGTTCTCTTTTCATTTTAATGCTGTTTTCTTTAGCCATGCAGAAGCTTTTTAATTTGATGAGGTCTCATTTGTTTACTCTTTCCTTTATGTCCCTTGCTTTAGGGGATGTATCAGTGAAAATATTGCTCCATGGGATGTCTGAGATTTTCCTGCCTATGTTTTCCTCTAGGACTTTTATGGTGTCATGACTTATACTTAAGTGTTTTATCCACCTTGAATTTATTTTTATGTGTGGTGTAAGTTGGTGATCAAGTTTCATTTTTTTGCATGCAGCTGTCCAGATTTCCCAACACCATTTGTTGAAGAGGCTATTTTTACTCCATTTTATGCTGCTTCCCCCTTTGTCAAATATTAATTAACCATAGAGATTTGGGTTTATTTCTGGGCTCTCTGTTCTGTTCCATTGGTCTATATGTCTGTTCTTATGCCAATACCAGGCTATTTTGATTACAGTGGCCTTGTAGTACAGTTTGATATCAGGTATTGTGATCCCTCCTGCTTTGTTCTTCTTTCTCAAAATTGCTGAAGCTATTCGGGTCATTTATGGTTCCATATAAGTTTCTGAAGTGTTTGTTCTATATCTGTGAAATATGTCATTGGTACTTTAATAGGTATTGCATTGTATGTGTAAATTGCTTTGGGTAGTGTGGCCATTTTGATGATGTTAATTATTCCAATCCATGAGCATGGTATATGCTTCCATTTGTTTGTATCTTCCTTAATTTCTTTCTTCAGTATTGTGTAGTTTTCTGAGTGCAGGTCTTTTACCTCTTTGGTTAGGTTTATTCCTGGTACTTTATTTTTCTTGTTGCTATATCAAATGGGATTTTTTTGCTGATTTCTGTTTCTGATATTTCATTGTTGGTATATAAAAATGCCTTTGATTTCTCAGTATTGACTTTGTATCCCGCTGTTTTGCCAAATTCATTTATTAGGTTGAGCAGTTTTTTAGTGGAGTCTGTAGGATTTTCTATGTACGCTAAGATCTCATTTTTTTAAAATAGCCTTAATTGAGTACCTACTGTGAGCCAGACTGCTTGTAGGCTCCAGAGATATGTGGAGAAATATTCTCACCCTGGAAGAGCTCACAGGCTAGTTTTAGGGAGAGAGACATGTACCGTAAGCAGGTATTTGTGGCACATTGTGACAACTGCTATTACAGGAGCTCAGGGGCTTTCAGAACACAAAATACTGTCAGAGAGTTTTAGCAGCCTTCACATAGGGGATCACTGAAGGTGAACCTTAAAGGTAGGATAGGTGTTTGCCACAGAGGAGGGATGTTGGAAGTATTCCAAGACAAGGACCATACATGTTCCTCTCTGGACAAATATTTATCTTGTGCCCACTGTATGCCTAGTGTTGTGCCAGTCCCTGAAGGCAGTGGTGACCCCAGACAGATGGGACCCTGCCCTTACAGGGTTATACCTGGCAGAGAAGACCACTGCTAAAGAATCATCACAGGTAAGACGTGTGTTACAAAGGACAAGTGTAGGCAGCTGTAGGAACCTATAGGGGACCTAGTCTGTACATAATCTCCCTCTCTCTATATATATATTTTTAATTTCAGTTCACATATTGGCCACTGGATGTCATCACAGGTCTATTTTTTTTTTACCCCAGTTTCATGTTATCAAAATAAAATTGTATCAAAACACCATCATGGTGTTTTGCTATAACTTTTACTTCTTCCTCCATCAGTACTCAGACTAAGCTGGCAAGTGTACCTAATGGCTGAAGACAGCAACCGAGACACCCTGCCAGGAACGGGGCCTCTCCAGGAGGCCCTCAGGGCACTGCTGCCCCGCACTAAAGAAGAACTGAAGTTGGACCTCAGTGAGAATGTGCATAGGAGTGTGCTGATTCTGCTGCAGCAAGCCACCAACCTCTTCTATGAGGACAGAAGGAGCGAGTGTCTGCAGACAACTGAGGCACTCCTTGACTACTCCTGGGAGAAACTCAATACTGGGGTGTGGCGGGACGTGGACAAAGACTGGCGTCGGGTTTATTCCTTCAGCTGCCTTCTGAAAACCATGTGTCTTTGTGAAACACCTGGGGACGCTACCACCGTAGCTGCAGCCCTGAAGGTCTGTGACATGGGCCTGCTGATGGGGGCAGCCATCCTTGGGGACATCCTCAGTAAAGTCGCTGCCGTCCTTCAGACCCACCTGCTGTCTGGAAAAAGGCCTGCCCAAGGCCCAGCCCAGGAGCAGCCTGGCATAAAGGTATCTTGGTGAGATTGTCAGTGACCGCACCTAATGTAATCCAGCAGCCCTGTTTTTCTAGAAGTAACAAGTCATCTCTTCCTTAAAGTGAGACCTCTCTGACATGCTGACCTCTCTGGCTGAAAATAGTGTCTCCATTTATTTGGAAGTAGAACAGCTCCATCTACTTTCTCCGTTTTTTCCTCCCATTTCTGCAGAAGCAGTACCCTTTCAGGAGAGAGGAAGGGTGGCAGCATTGTTGTTCCTAAGAGAAACAGCTCAGAGGGATGGTAGGGGTGATGATTTTTCTTGGACAACTGGTTGAAGTATCACCCACATTTCTGGCAGCTCTGTCTGTGCATTGTTGAGTTTGGATGAGGTGCCACAACTGTCTATCTCCTGTTCATGTGTTTGATGCGTCCTGCCCTTACATCCTTGCACATGTCCCTACTGGAATTTAAGTGTTTGTGGCACAGGATACCCTAAGTCACTGTGCATGGTTTACTGAGAAGGCTTTGAATCCTGGTGCTGGCATGCAGTCCTCATGCACAGCACCTCTGGGCAAGTCTGTTCACAAGGAGGAAACAGATATAAAGAGGTGTGAGAAAATGTTCAACCTCATCTTTCGTTTTAAAAAAATGCAAAAACCGGCAGTCATTTATAACTATGAAATCATCAAATGAGGTTTTGCACAATACCAAGTGTTATCAAGGGTGCCATGGAGCTAAGGACATGGTGCGTTGATTAATCTAACAGAGGGCAGGGCAGATATGGAGATCAAGGGACAAATACCTATTCCCTTTCCTATGCTAAGTCTGTCCTGGGGGCATATGGAGCAGGCTTCATGCCCAAGGTGGTACTCATAGTGTGGGTGGTGTCGGGCAGTGGATATAGCTAAGGGGCTGAGAGTTCAGACTGTGGAGCCAGCCTGCCTGGGCTCAAGTTCCCACAGTGCCATTCACTGCCTGTGGATCAGGCAAGTGCAATAGCCCCTCTGTGCCCACTCTGTTCTCTTGCCTGTGAGAACAGGTTTGCTCAACAGCTTTATTGAGCATCAGCAGTGGCCCAAATGTGCCAGCTGCTAGGCGATGGTACAGAAGGGTCCAAACTCTGTCCTTCAGTTACCATCTAGTGGGGCTTTAAAAGGTGGAGGGAAGCATCTTCATGGAAGGTGGTCAGGGAAGGCTTCTTTAATAAGGGATACATGAGCATGAAAGCCTACCATAGATAGAGGGTTGTGACAGTGAAAGGAACAGACAGGTATGCGACCTAATGCATCACCTGCAGGTAAGGATGTTAGCGGCCAGTGCTGCAAATGTCGAGAACTGGTTTGGGGTCCAGCATTAGGACCAGAGGGTGCTGACACATGCGTGCCAGGGGGTCAGTACTCTACGTGAGAGCTTGTCTCCCAGTGGTTTAACAGACAAGGAAACTGAAGCTCAGACACAGTAACTTAGTCAGTCAGTTGGGAATGCTTAAGTAAATTGTGATGCCACCACTCTTGAGACATTGCAAGGACGGGTGGTAACAGGGAAACTGCTTTAGTTAAATTACTGGATGGGAGAGGTAGAGTTGTTTGTTCATTGTGAGTATTACTGCCTGTGGGTCAGGGATGTGTCTATGAGAAGGTGGGAAAGGAACTGGGGAATGAGAAGGAATGCTCTGTGTCAGGTGGTGGAGTGTGGGATAGTAAGTTTTCCTCAACTGCAGAATTTCTGTGAAAGCAACATACTACGTTTATAATTGAACAAACATTTGAAATGACCTGGTAAAGAAAAAAATATGTGCTCTAATGAGAAGTAAACAGTAGTCGCAGCAATAATAATGACAATAAATGTTAACTGTCTTTGTAATTAAAGACATCTAAGCTCTCCTACCATTGATACAAATTCCTAGAATGCCTCGTGTTGTCTTTCCTTTGTGGTTGCCATTTTGCTTTGTTCTGATTTTAAACAGAAAGCCAGGAATGGCCACACTTCGATTCCAGATACGAGGTCAGAAGAAGCAGTTCCCCGACTTCACTGTCCGTCCCTCCAGTATTTCAGGAAACATTATTTGGTTCCACAGAGGCCTGTGATTTTAGAGGGCGTGGCCGACCATTGGCCGTGCATGAAGAAGTGGAGGTGGGTGGCTGCTGAAAGCCAGAAGGTTCTCCCTCCTGTTTCAGTGTCCCTGAAGACTCCCTGTGCACTTCCCCCACCACCCCCAAGTAAACACAGCCCCTGGACATGTCATTACCAGTCCCTGGGGTGGGTGGCCAAGGAAGAAGAACTGGCAGGCAGTGCTCTGGGTCTACACGAGATCTAAGACTCTTACCTCCTTCCACTTGCTTGCCCTAAGCCATTTTTAATGAGGGCTTCAGGGGCAGGCCAGTACTAAGTCTATTATGCAGTTTTATAGGATCTTAGGAATTCTATGTACTTTCTTGGGCCCTGAAGCTTCAGAGTAAGAAAAAAAACAAAAACAAAAACAAAAAAAAAAAAAACAAGAAATGGCCACGTCCCCTTCTTTAGGGGACCTGTGGGCTCTTGTGTTTGCTTTCTCTTTACACCTGCTTCTAGTTCCACCTCAGACTTAGGAGAGACAGGTCAGATCAGGTGGCTGGAGAGTGGCCGTGATGCAGTGGCTGTGCATAATTTTGGAAAGGAGGAGTGGTCTCTAAGGAAGGTTGATTGAGTCAGCCTGTCTTAGACAGTGGTAGCCTTGTGGGGGGAGTGGCTTCCACTAAGACTGAGGAGGAGTGCAGGAGTCATCTGACTGCAGAAGTTATCGTCCCAGCAAACATGCAGTATGTGTTTTACTGTGTATCAGGTATGTTACATGTCTTACTACATACCAGGTGCCAAAGTTAGGTAGGCACTTGCCATGTTTCCTCTCTCTTTATCCTCCCTGGTTCCTATGGGATAGGCCGTCACCAACACCATTTTGCAGTGGTGAACAAGTGCTCAGAGAGGTTAAGAAACTTGCTGGAGATCCCTCGGTCTGTAACAGGCAGGGTCTGGAGTCAGTGCCGGGCCTCCAGAGTTGAGAACCCGGGCACTTCGGCAACCCTTGCACTGTTGGCCATCTACTCAGCTTAGTGACAGGGTTGGCAAAGAGAGAAGGCCCTCGGCAAGCTGAGGAATAGAGCCTCCAGCCAGAACTGTAGCAGATGAGATGTATCGGGTCTATCTGCAAAGCTCCCCAGCACCAGCTGGGCTAGGAACCTCACCCATCAGTGCCTGAGTTGCCTTGTCAGTGAGGTGGGGGATAACGTAGTCTCCACTTCATGAGACTTTGTGGTGAAAAGAGACCACATAAAATATGGGTAGCAGAGTGCCCAGCAAGAACTAACAATACTGATGAAATGATGATACACATTTCTCTAATAGTTTGGAGTATATCCAAGAAATTGCTGGCTGCCGAACAGTCCCGGTGGAAGTTGGCTCCAGGTACACGGACGAGGATTGGTCCCAGAGACTCATGACGGTCAGTGAGTTCATCAGCAGGTACATCCTGAATGAGGTATGTCATTGTGATTCCTTTCTCCTAATAGTTACAAGAGGCAAACACATTACATTTGGGCAAATAACCTCCATGCCTCACACTGGAAGGTTTTGGAGTAGTCAGTCTTTAAGAGTCTTCTTGGTCAGTAGGCTGGCCAGTGCCAGGAAGGCAGGCTGCTGGGTAAACAGGTAGGTGGACTTGGCATGAGGGACTCATTTCAGAAACTTTTTTGTTATTGTACATTTCAGTGCTTTTGAATATATTCTAAGACTATGCAGCCATCACTACTGTGTAATTCCAGAACATTTTCATCACCCCAAAAGAAACCTCAAACTAAGTAATAGTCACACCTCACTCCCTTCCTAGGCAACTACTGAGCTTCTTACTGTCTCTATGGATTGGCCATTTCTGGACATTTGATATAAATTGAATCACCTAATCTGTGGCCTTCTGTGTCTGGCTTCTGTCACTGAGCATCATGTTTTCAAGGTTCGCATCATGTTTTCAAGGTTCACCCATGTCGTGGCACTTATCAGTCTTGTACTTTACCCCTGTTACGGCCAAGTAATATTCTGTTGTTTGGATAGACCTCATTTTGTTCATCTGCTGATATGTTGATGGCCATTTGAGTTGTGTGCTCTTTTGCCTGGTATGAACAATGCTACTGTCAACATTCATGTACAAGTTTTGTGTGGACATATATGTTTGTTTCTTTTAGGTATATACTAAGTGAATTTGCTGGTAACTTCATGTGGTAGCTCTGTGTTTAACCTTTTGAGGAACTGCCAAACTGTTTTCCAAAGCAGCTGCACCATTTCATTATTTCAGATTCTCAACAGTAAGGGCCGGGGGTGGTTTCCTCTCCTGACACTGGGTGGCAGAGAATGTAGACTGTCTGCCTGCAGTACCTGAACCATCCCTACTGGCTGGGAAAAAAGGGAGCCTGGAAGTGGGTGCACAGATCCTTCAGGGGAGGGTTGTCCATGCAGCATCTCTGGTGGGCAGGGTCTTTCACAAGGTGTGGAAGTTAGCTTCAGTGGTTTGCAACTCTTCCACATACTCCCAACAGCCTGCCGCCTGGGCCCCAACTCTGTAAAGCTCTGACCAGATTTGATCATGGATCCGCTGCAATAAATGGGTCCGGGTCAGTGACCATGGGGGCTAACAGTTTCTTCTGTTGGCCTTCTCAACAGTGTGACTGAACTCCTGAGGGACCACCCCATTACCCTTCCTGACCCTATCTCTTGCACTCCTGAAGTTCCAGCCCCCTCCACAGGCACCCAGCATAGTTCCCTGGGCTATGGGTTCCTCCATCAGTGCTCACAGATGTCTTTCCTTTTCTGCTTCTCCTGCACTCCTCCCTACCCCCACCTCTGCTCAATTCACTGTCACCTGGGACCTGGAAATGAGAGCCATGGACTAGAGATGCCCCATGTTGGCATGTCCCTTTCACTTGTAAACATAAATCCAGCTCAGAGACCCCTGCTATCTCATTCTGCTGGGATGGGAAGAAGCCTGAGGCATCTTGTGGAGCAGGCGGGATGGGCACTTTGGAGTCAGGCCGAACAGCACTGGATCCTGCACTGGCCCTTGCTTGCCCTGTGTCCTTGGCTGGTTACTTAACCTCTCAGATCTTCAGTGCCCTAACTTCTGGTTAGTTAGGGTTGGTTGGGGTTAATTAGTCAGAGGTTTCCGATGCTTCATGGGGTCATTGTGAGAATAACACGCAAAGCTAAGCACAGCGTGCCCAGCACTCAGCTACTGTCAGCAGTTAATGTCCTCTGCACCAGGATGTCTGGGAGGATGAGGCCACATCAGATCTGGCTCTGCTCGGTCCTTAGCACAGGCGCTGGCATTTTGTAAACGCTTAACATTTGTTGAAAGGAAGAAGGAATGAAGGAGAGAGATAGAAAGATAGATTTTTGAGGCATCTTAGAGGAGCCTTATTTACTTTGACACTGTGCCAGCCTCAGAGCAGTTAGACCCAGGCCAGCCCCACTCAGAAAGTCAGGAAGCTAGTGTCTGGCACCCCTCTCCTGCCCGGCCCACCAGTCCTTTAGAGGCCCTCAGCCTCCTCCCGACTCAGGACTCCAGCCCTCAGCACCACAGAGCCCCGTGTGTAAAGCACCAACCTTTTTACCCCCCAGAGTGGCAGGAGTTTTCACCAAGTGATAATCTCCAAAAATTAATTGCCAGAAAGAGTATAAATAATTTAACTTTGGGGAAAGTAACCTGGCAGAAGCTATGAAAATTTAAAATGCACATACTCCTTGACTCAGATGTTCTGCTTTTGGACACACATAAATACAAGGACCAAAATATTGGACTGTTCATTGAAACGCTGGCAGAGCAACCCCGCTGCCCATCAGTAGGGGGAGAAGTGAGTTAATAACCATGTATTTGTCCGTAAAATGTGCGTTTGTCAGAAGAATGACTGACACACGTGTGGCAACTTGGAGAGATGTTTTTGCTATATCATTAAATGAAAAAAGATTTCAGAGTCATGTATAGTATGATTCCATGTTTATTTTAAAAATCATCATATGTGTACAACCCCCTCATTTTTTCCCAAGAGGATGTTAAATAGCTTGTTGATGATATATGATAATGGACGATACACAAGCTTTATTCCTGTCTATTATTTCATCTGGCACCATAACTCAATTAGATATATTGCTTAGGATGTGCCAACAGTCATTACTTACCAAACAAACCCCATGACTCTGTTCGGGTGCCCCTTTTAATGGCAAACCCCAGATCACAGCACAGGAACTGGCCATTACACTGCACCAGGGTTTCTGGAAACAGTGGCTTCTCGGCCCCGGCGGACTGGAAACAAGTTTCTGGTGGAACCCAGCATCACCCTGAAGGAATTCCGACTTCACTGTTGGGGCGATTTACCAAGATGGCTTCAGAGTAGGCTAACTTTGCACAGCACATTTTTAAAAAGATAATGTATTCAGAGTCATGATCAGACTATTACATTTAACAATCAATAGCATGGGTGCAAAAAAAAAAAACCCTACATTAAAACCCTTTGTTGGAATGCTTTACATATTCCACGGCACAGAAATAAAATAACCTGTTATACAATCAGTCATAAATGCAGTCCTCGCATTTTTGCCCATTCACATGAATATTGTCTAAAACATGTCTTCTTTGTAGCAGCTAGGCCACCACTGTGCTTGGCTCAGTCCACAAATCTGCTGTAACCTGGAGCTGCTCTGTCAGTTCTCTGACTCTCCTCTCCTGCTAAGCTTTGTTTCCTGGCAGCAATTAAAACCCATGCCACTGCCAAAGCTGCCACTGCTGCTGGAACCTCCACAGCCACCTGGGTCTTGTGGTTTGGCAAAGTGTTGGCCTCCTCCACCACAGGGGCCAGAGCGTCTGCCTCCAGTTTCCTCCTTTTATGGGCCCGCAATTTGAAGATTGATTGTTGTAATTGCCAAAATTATTGTAGCTTCCGCCACCTCCAAAGTTGCTTCCGTCATTGCCAAGTCCATGATAGCCACCCCCACTGCTACCATATCCACCACCACCATGGCTGCCACCAAAGCTACCTCGACCACTGAAGTTTCCTCCACGACCAAAGTTGTCATTCCCACCAAAACCACCTCCACGACCACGTCCAAAATTTCCAGAACCAGTTTAGCCTCTTTGGCTGGATGAAGCACTAATCATCTCTTGCTTAGATGGGGCTTTCCTTCCGTCACAGTTGTGGCCATTCACAGCATGTTATCTTGAGTGGCAGTCTTGTCTATGGAGTCACAGTCATCAAAGGTTACAAAAGCGAAGCCTCCCTTCTTGCTGCTGCCTCGGTCAGTCATGATTTCAGTCACTTCAATTTTCCCATACTGTTCAAAATAACCCCTTAGGTACTATTCTTCAGTGTCTTCTTTAATACCACCGACAAAAATCTTTGTTACAGTGAAGTGGGTGTCCGATCTTTGAGAATCTTCTCTACAGACAGCAGAAGGCAGCCCTCTTTGTTTCCTCAACTCTTCCTCCCACCTTGTGTGCCTTGCACTCCCGGCTGCATCCCCCTCCTCCACAGGGACATCCATGACAAACCCAGGGCCCCTGGAGCGCTTGGTGTTTGGATCTCTCATCACCACACAGTCTGTGAGCATCCCTATTGCTCACCACGGCTCCTCAGACTCTCATCTGTTGTTTCAAAGCTCAGGCCTCCAATAAAGAGCTTCTGCAGCTGTTCCAGTTCTTTGGGAGACTCTGACTTAGGCATGACGATCACGGGAGGGGAGATTTTTTCTAAATTGATTTTTAGAGAAGTAGAACTATTGATTTGTTGTTCCACTTACTGATGCATCCATTGGTTGCTTCTTGTATGTGCCCTGACTGCAGATATAACCCTCAACCTTGGCATATTGGGACAATGCTCTAACCAACTGAGCTCCCCAGCAGGACAGGAGGGGTGACTTCAATGATGCTTACTCAGCGGCATCCACTGGCAGAAAAGAGTGATCTAATGAGCGAATCTGCCCCCTTCAGCCCTGGATCACAGGGTGACAAACTCTAGGTAACCTCTGTGGCAGAGACAGCACCAGATCCTGAGTCTCCCCAGTCAGCAGTCCTGCTCAGCAGGGAGTTGATCACATTAGCTGCTGGGTGGGAGAGGAGGGCCCTCCAGGTAGCTGCCCAGGCCTGGGGCAGGAGCAGGAGCATGTAGGTGCTGAGAGCCAGCTTAACAGTAGCACCTGCAAAGCGTCCACCACCACTAACAGGTTTTCTGTGTCTGGTTTTTCTCCCATGGATTAGCCAAAGGACATCGGGTACCTGGCCCAGCACCAGCTCTTTGACCAGGTAAGTCTAATACCACACGCCTCTGGCCTTCTCTCTCTTGCCTCCCCTCCTCCCTTCCTGGGCTCTGACCCCAAAGGGCAGCAGAGGGAGTAGCAACCTTGTTTGCCACCCACTGGTGCTGCTCCCTGCGGTGAGCAAGGTTGCGCTCCATGCATCACCCGGCTTCCTCACCAGCCAGCAGCAGGAGAGCAGGCGAGGCCACCAGGCCTGAAAGGCAGGCCTGCTGAGCCTAGGGCCCCAGGACTGGGGTTGATGGACGGGTCCATAAGCACCAGAGTGACCTCTGGGGTGTGAGTCAGAAGTCCCGCTGTGGTCAGAACTGGGGAAGGGGTCCCAGGGACCCAGGCAAGGGTGGCAGACTCTGACTGACCCAGAAGAAGCGAGTTCACTGCCTTCCTTGCAACAGAGCTGTGGGAAGATCCTGGCACTGCCCTTACCACATCTCACATGTCTCCCAGCAGGGCCATCTCCCCACCCCTGCGCCTGCATGCTCCCGGCAGGGACCAGGTTCAATTCTCTGGGTACCCATCCCTGGTGGGCCAGGTTAAAGGTCCTCAGGACACACTTGTTGAAGAATAAGAGAGCAAGGGGGCTTGGGCAAGAGGACACTCCCAGTGAGTGCCATCTCACGCCAGGAGCCCCAGAGGCCGAGTGGGATAGGCCCACGTGCTAGGGTGTGTTGACCAGCCTAAGGGGATCTGTCCAGAATCACAGCAAGGATTAGGCAAAGAGGGGGGCTGTGGCCAAGCTGGGGAGGATGTTGAATGCCAGGCCAAGAACTTGGATTTGTCTGGAAGACAAGAGGAGCCCTGCGAGGTTTTTAGCAGGAGGGTTCCCAGTAAGGTAGTATTTCCAAAAGGATCCAGCAGGACAGACAGGGAATTTGTGAGGGACAGTGACTGGGGGCAAGCGGGGAGACAAAGCACAAGTTGCAGAAGTGCCGCTCTAGGTCTTTCTCTGTCACAAATCAGCCCCTACAAACAGACATCAGAGTGTGGCCCAGCCAGCACTGGCATCGCTGGGAGCTTTCAGTGAAGCAGGCTCCACCCCAGGGCCTGGTGACTGAGCTCAAGGTGACAGGGGCTCCATAGCCACCAAACGCAGAGCTCACAAAGCAATCATGGGAGCTCAGGGACCGCCTGGCTGTGGGAAGTGAGAAAACCAGGGTGCATGACTCTGTAAAGAATGCTCCTAGCTGTACTAAAGACAGAGAAATGCCACAAAAGATCAACTATAATTGTCTGTGGGTGGTGAGTGGTTTTTCCTTCTCATTTCTGCAGTCTCCAAATTATCTGTGACTATACATTCATCGTGAGAAAAAAATAGACTATTTTTAAATGCAAACAAAACAAGAGAACAAAGTGTGGCAGGAATCGGATTGTGTTCCATGTTTGCAAAGCTGTCTAGTTAGGACACTGGAGCAGTCAGAGGAATGCTTATCCTGGGGAAATAATTGAACAGTTTGGTTTTCTATCCAGTCCCTTTCCCCATCCCTCACTTATCTCTTCACTTGGTTCTTGGGGTGTAGCTGGAGCAGGGCCGTGGGGCATGGCAAGAATGGGCTTCTTTGTAGGCCCATGTGCACCAAGTGCTGGGCTCTGCCCTGGGGTACAGGGCTAAAGAACTCAGAGTCACTCCCTGACCCAGTGGACCTGAAAACCAACACATCAGATGGTGATGAGTAGCCCAAGGAAAATAAGAGGTGGCCTTACAGAAGGTGGCTGGGCAGGAGAGAAGGTTCTTTGGATCAGGTAGTCAGGGAATGCATCTCAAGAAAGTAACATTTGGGTGGTGACTCAAATGAAGAGCTGTGGCCAGCTATGTGTGGGGGTAAGAGAAGGAGTGAGCTGGCTAGGAGGACCACAGGAGTGAACTTTCACCTTCAAGGGGGCACAAAAGTTCAGCATTGCTGGAGCCCAGTACACGAGGGGCCAGGAGTAGCAGGTGGAGTCCAAGAAGTAGGGGGCTGAGTGAGGAAGGGTAGTTTTCTCAATGCGATTGGAACCTGGAGGGTGATGTTTCCAGCATCTCTGGCCACTTTCTGGAGGTGAACTTAATGTGAGTAGGTGTGGTGGCAGGGAGACCATGAGGAGGCAGTTGCAATGGTCCAGAGATAGCTGATGCCATGGAGGTGGAGAGGCTGGCACTGGACGTTGGTGGGTAGGCAGACGTCAAAGGAAAGGAAGCAGTTGAAGAAGAGGCCTAGATTTGGGAGTCAAGCAACTCGTTAGATGAAGCTGAGAAGTCCAGGAGAGGCTGCTGGTGTGGTCTCAGCCAGGTCGGAGACACTCAGGGTGGGGCTCAGGAGGAATGCCCTGGGAGGGCAGCTCTTGGCAGGAGGCGAGGCCAGGCTGGGTCAGTCCAAGCATGAGCTGGGCCCATCTGCCAGATCTGCTATGTCTGCTGCTGAGGCTAGGGTTGCCCTCACTGACTGTCCTGACTGGGGTTGAAGGGGTGGGTAATCCCAGGTTCAGATGGGTCTGTGCCAGCTTCTAGGAGGGCTGGGCAGGTGGGGCTGGGTGGGCTGTGGTGTCTTTACCAGCCCTCCTATATTAGGACTTATAGGTTCTGCCCCCTGAACTCTGTTGCTAAGAAGAAAAGGATTCTAACTGGTCAGCCCCTACTGTGTAATTCCAAGAGATCAGCCTCTTCCCTGACCTCAGTTGCACTGGGCACAGCCTCCCAGGGGCACTTCGAAGACACCAGTAAATTTAGCTCCCTGCCCTGGAAGACCCATCATCCATGTGACTAGAATTAGAGGGAGCCATTTTAGAAGGCAAAGTTTGTGATTATCTTGAAGATGTTTTGGCTATTACAGGGCCACCGGAGCCTGTACCTGTGGTCCCCAGAGGTGTTTTCATCTCTACTGTTCAGAGCGCCTTCGGGGAAAGTCTGAGCAGCCGGGCATGGAGTGTCATGGGGGCGATGGGGCAGAGGGTGCCAGGCAGGCCTTTGCACTGTTTTCAGGGCCTTCCCTGCCCACTTGAAGTTCAGTGGCTCCCACTGAAAACCTCTTGCCCAAAAGTCTTTTACTGACTTTCCTCTCAGGAACCCCATGTTTTACAATATTTTGGCTACTACACCAGTCCTGCCATCAATTATCAATCACGTCTGGGAGCCTTTCTTCTCTTGAGGTCTCTGAAACCTTGACCAGTGCTCTGCTTACATCAACCAATCACTCAGAAATCCCAATGATCAGGAGCCAATCAGCTTCTCAGCACTCCATGGGGCCAGTTGTGGTGTAATACCCTGGAAGGAGATTCCCAGAACTCTGCCTTTCAGAATCTTGCACACAGCTTGATAAGCTAGGGACCTTCTACTTCTAAGCAGTGAATACAGCAGCATTTCTGTATTTCTACATAGGCTTAAGATAGATCTCAAGTACAGAATAGCATCATCTGCCAGGGCTGCATGCAGGAGAACATTCCAGCTATTTTGGGTGTTATTGTTTGATTCTTTTTTTTTTTTTTTGAGAAACATTGATTTGTTGTTCCACTTATTTATGTATTCATTGGTTGATTCTTGTATGTGCCCTGACCAGGGATTGAACTCACAACCTTGGTGTGTTGGTACAGCTCTCTAACCAACTGAGCTACCTGGCCAGGGCTTGATCAGTACTTTCTTAACTACCAACCTGAACTTTCAGTAGCTGCTACTGGAGGAATGGCCAGTCGCCCTGCTGGTATCCCTTCAGACCAACGAGTGCTTACTCTGAAAATGCCTGAGTAGAGTAGCAGAGGCAGTTGCCCCCTACAACCCTGTTTTCATACCTGTCAAGCTTGAAAAATGCCACTGGCTTCAGAGAGTGTCCAAAGAGGGGCTTGTGAGAAATCCAGACACCCTAAGGGTGGGGGCCAGAGACTGGCTCTGGTAGGTTCAGCACTGAATTGCCCTCTGAAGGTCAGGTCAGGAAGTGGGTTTGTTCTGGGTGAGTTGTGTCTTCTCTGTGAGCTACTGACTGGTTCTTTCCAAATGAGCCCAAGACCACCACAGCCCTGCCCTACCCTAAACCTCCCACATTGCCTGCTATGCTGACAAATGGCCCTGAGGTTTTGAGAAATTAAATAGAAATTTAACTATGGAGAGCAGTATGGAACTTCCTCAGAAAACTAAAAATGGATCTGTCTTTTGACCCTGCAATTCCACTGCTGGGACTCTATCCTAAGAATACTAAAACACCAATCCAAAAGAACCTATGCATCCCAATGTTCATAGCAGCACAATTTATAATAGCTAGATGCTGGAAGCAACCAAGATGCCCATCAGTAATGAATGGATCAAAAAACTATGGTACATTTACACAATGGAATTCTATGCAGCAGAAAGAAAGAAGGAGCTCCTACCCTTTGCAACAGCATGGATGGAGCTGGAAAGCATTATGCTTAGCGAAACAAGCCAGGCAGTGAAAGACAAATACCATATGATCTCACCTTTAACAGAAACCTAAACAACAAAACAAAGAAACAAGCAAAATATAACCAAAGACACTGAAATAAAGGACAGGCTGACAGTGACCACAGGGGAGAGAAGAGAGAATTTCAGGGGATAATGGGAAGGGTTTACAGGAACAAATTTAAGGGACACATGGACAAAAACTAGGGGGAGGGTGGTAATGGGAGGAAAGAGGGGAGGGCTGGGTGGGTGGGCTGGACTGGGAGTAAAAGGGAGAAAGCTGTACTTGAACAATGATTTAAATAAATAAATAAATAAATAAATAAATAAATAAATAAGAAATTTAAATCTGGTCCCTAAAAGAACCACAGCTGTTAAAGCCATAAAGGTAAATCAGGTTGTGAGCATAAAATGGTCAGTGAGCTTGAAGAGAAAATGTCCAAGAGATGGTCTCCCCCTCACTGCATTGGGCACAAACTTGAGATGGGCTGCCTGTCTCACCAGGCAGTCTCTGTGCCCTGTCTCTTTCTGCTGGCTTTGGAAACATGCTTTATACCCACCCCAGCTTTTAAAAGGAGGAAGTCAAGAATCCGCTCTTTGATTTTAGGTACCCTCTTGGTTCATCCTTCCCCTGAGGCAAACACGTCAGAGTGCCTCTGCCCAAAAGTGGGTGGAGGGGTGGGGAGGATCTAGGGTAAGAAAGCACTAGAGGGGAAACAGTGCTTGCAGTATTAAAGTACACCTTTTCAGACACATTGACCTGAGGCACGTTGACAGTGCCCAGAGCAGACAGCCGACAGCACCTGCTTTCTCGGGCAGCCTCCTCCATCCTGTGAGCTGGAACATCAGCCTCCTTGAGGGACTCCAACCCTCCACACCAAGGAGGGCTGTGCAAGCTCACTTCTGTCTGGGATGGAGAAGTGTGAACGCTTCTGAAGGCTTGTGCACATTGGAAGCACCAGCAGCCCTGCAGGAGGGTACCCCTTCCGCCAATCCTCCCACCCCTGGGTATTACCACTTTTTCAGCCTTTGCTAATTTGAATACCAGGAAATGATGGCATTTCATTTGCACTCCTTTGCTAATGGGACTGAACCCTGACCTTGTATCTAATTCATTTTTATGTGTTATCTCATTTTTGTCCTATGTATTGGGATCCTTATTATTTTGTATGAACTGTGTACATTAATCCTTATTTACTAGAGTTAGTTCAAGTAGGTTTCCTAGTCTCTTGTTCTTTATAATTAATTTACTTAACATGTGCCAGTTGTCATTGCTATACCATTAGTAAATTTAGAAAATCTTCCCCTTCAGAGATTTGATAGTCAACCCCATTTTTTTGTTTGTTCCTTATTTTATTTTTAATTTTGTAAAATAATTAACTCTCTAGAAAATTACCAACTGGTTTATAATTTTGTTTGTTTTCTTTTTCTTTTTTAATTAATCTTGAAGAGAAAGAAACATTGATTTGTTATTCTACTTATTCATTGGTTGCTTTTTGTATGTGCCCTGACCAGGGATCAAACCCACAACGTTGGTATTTTGGGATGATGCTCTAACCAACTAAGCTTCTCAGCCAGGGCTCAACTGGTTTATCTTTAAGTACAAATACAAAGCACTTGTTATCAGTTTTATTAAAAGGAAACAAACATAAAGTACATATGACATGGAAACAAATCTGAAAATAAGGTTAACTTTTCTCTAGTGTTATATATTTATTTTTTTAATTGATTTTTAAATTCCTATTTAGCAAATGCAGATACAGTGTGTTGTTGCACAAGAGGACATTGCACATTTGGCCCTTCCGTCAGATAGTCATTTGACTTCTGGGCTGGTGGGCCCCACAGGCCTGGTCTCACCCTTCCCCGTCTGCTCTGACACCCACAGATCCCGGAGCTGAAGCAAGACATTGGCGTCCCTGATTACTGCTGCCTGGGCGACGGGGAGGAAGAAGAGATCACCATCAATGCCTGGTTTGGGCCCCCAGGCACCATCTCCCCCCTTCATCAGGACCCCCAACAAAACTTCCTAGTCCAGGTGGGAGTCACTGCAGAGCACCAACCTTCTCCCCGCCCTGGCCCAGCCCTGCACCCACCACATTATCCACCTTTACACACCAGAGAGGTGAACCACTGATGGCCATGGACACAAATGAAAACGGAAATGCTACTGGACCTGGTAGGGATGGGGGGAGGGCATTGGGAGGAGTTGCTTCCAGATGTGCTTCCTGGACGACCCAGCTCATCCTCGGACCCCGGACCTCACCCCCACTGGGCAGGGCCAGTGCTACCTCCTACCTCGGGATGGGAGGGAGCTCAGTGCCCTCGTGGCTGCCTCTGCCCTCCCTCCCTCCCCCTGCCTGCTCTCCATCAGAACCAGGGTGGCTTCTCCCTGCCAAAATCCTCTCTCCAAATGAGGAACAGCTCCTTGGCCCCTTGATGGTTTTCCTGAGACCCAGAAGAGGGGCAGAGGGAGCAGCACCTTGTAAAGCCACCTTAGTGTTTTCCTAAGCAGAGAGTTGAACAAATGAGCACATGCTTCCAGCCAGGTGGACCACCCCACAGAGCAGAGGCAGGCTGCGTGATGTGGACTCCAGCTTCACCACCTGTCAGCTATGTAAACTTGGGCAGCTCACTTCCCCTCGCTGGGCCCCAGTGTCTTCATCTGTAAGGTGGGGTGACAAACCACTTCCTTGTTGTGAGGATTACAGTTGATACACATAAAGCACTTGAACAGTGGCTGCCACCGTCAAGTGATTAATTGTTGGCTACAGTAACAAACTTGGTGATATGTGATGTATCTGGAGGAGAAACACCTTGGGACTGTAAGCACGTGTGTGGTGGGATTGGGGCTGGCTGGGCACAGGGAACGGCGTGTGGGAAGGCTCAGAAAGGCAAGGGAGGATGTGGACTCAGGGACCTGCAGTCAATATAAGGGCAGCAGTGGGAGTGAGGTCACCAGCTGACTGGCTGACGGGGTCACTCTCTTCCCAGGTGCTTGGGAGGAAATATATCCGGCTGTATTCCCCACAGGAGTCAGAAGCTTTATATCCTCATGATACGCACCTTCTTCATAACACAAGCCAGGTGGGACCCAGTGTGACATTTCAGCTTCTCCCCCATCCCACCCCATTTCTGGAATCCAGGCAGATGGCTTCTCTTGCTTTTTTCAGGTCGACGTGGAGAATCCTGACTTGGAGAAGTTCCCCAGGTTTGCTGAGGCCCCGTTCCTGTCCTGCGTCCTGTCTCCTGGAGAAATCCTGTTCATCCCGGTTAAATATTGGCATTATGTGCGAGCCCTGGACTTGAGCTTCTCGGTCAGCTTCTGGTGGTCCTAGCCAGGACAAGAGGGGCCTGCTCTGTGCCCATATGGCGTTGGGTCCTGGAATCTGCAGACAAGTTGCCTAGGCCTGTGTCCTGAAGAAGCATTCACTGGGGGCCGAGCTGTGGCTCCGGGCCGGCACAGCAGAGTGCCCAGGCCAGCTGTATGCATCAGAGGCAGGCACAGGAGGGCCCAGAGGGACATTCCAGGCCACACTGTGTGTGGTGGGCATGACAAGGCCTGAAGAGTGTAGGAAACAGGCAGGCAGCATGTGCTCTGAGATTGGCTGCATGGGTTTGAACCCAGCTCCACTGCTTCACTGCCACATGACTTTGGGCAAGTGTGTCCCTCTGAAAACAGGACAGCACTGGGCCTCATTACAGAGGGTCTGAAAGGGGGAGCGTGTGCAGAGCCCCTGCTGCTCCCCAGCCCTGTGACTGAAGAAAGGCAAGCATATCCCGACAGCTGACACCAGAAATGTCCCAGGCTCCTACTTGCTAGCAGACTCACTGATTAGTGACATTTATGCAGTGTGTCTGGATTTGACATTTGTCACTCCAGAACATGAGGTAAACAGTAATCTGTGCCAAACCAATCATAAAGGAAATTTTAAAAGCTTATAGTAAGCCTAAAAAAAGTGCAATTTTACTAACACTCAGATATAGGCGGTTAAAGCTACCAACTAAATTATAGCACAATTTTTAAAAAACTCAGACGCAGTGCTGAGGGGGTAAGATGTCATGCTGGCAGTTTAGCTCCACAGAATCTCAGCAGAAATCATGCACGCATCAGGTTGCTGATCCCACTAACAGATGCCCACCCTCAGGAAACACCAGAGCTGGTCAAACATACACAATTGGCCATCACAGCATCACTTGTAATAGCAGGTCTTAAGGAAAAAGCTCCATTGTCTTCATTACACAAAATCCTCTTGGAATACTGCTGACACCTGGTCACCAGATGTATGGGGTCCACAGCAAGCAATTCTGCAACACCAGCTAGGTGTCCTATGATTTACTTCAATTCTGACACTGTCCACATGCAGAGTTTCACATCCCACAGGTTAAGGGCTCAGTCCCACAAGACCTCTGGGACAGGCAGTCTTTGAGGCACCAAGAACAAGAGCAGGGTGTCTGGGGGAGGCAAGGAGAATCCAACACATTGGCAGTAATCACAGTGCTGGAGGCTGGTGGGAGCCATGTGAGATGGTCACATGGAGGAGGAAACATTGGACCAGGGACATCAAGGCCAGAGGTGGGTCTGGAAGGATGCACAGAAGATGGAATGTGGGCCCAGAAGCAGAGGGGCAGCTCAGTGCATTGGGGACTGCAGGAGGGCAGGCGTATAGGACAAAATTAAAGAGGTAGCAAGAGTCTAGGCTGTGTAGACTGACTGCCAGGCAGGCTGGGGCTCACTTGGTTGTGACAGAAACCCAGCTCAGAGTAATTTATGCAGAAACAGAACGAAGCGGATGCATTGGCTCCATAATACACAGGAGTGCTGTGGGAGGAAGCTCAGGCCTCCCCTGCCAGGCTTCTCTCCCTCCCTGGTAACACCTGCTGGTCTGGCTCAGGCTTCATTCTCCATCTTGCAGGTAGGCCTTCTCCTCCAGAGAACATGACCCCAGCTGGTCAGCTCCATATCCTTCAGTGCCAGGACTCCAGGGGAGATTCTGGCCCCCACAGTCACCCTGGGTAACGGAGAAGGCGTGGAAGAGCAATGGTGGAAGCTGAAACTAGCTGCTAATGTAACCAGACCATGGCATTTGAATTTTATCACAAAGATCTTGGAATTTGAGCAGACTTGGAATACACACAAGAAAGCTGCTGGTGGTGGGGAGGCTATGGAACTATGGTGAGTGAGCACAGGTGGGCAGTGTGCATGGAGGACAGCAAACACCAGAGCTATTTAGAACTTAGAGTCAAGGGCTTGGAGCAACTGCTTGTGAGAAGATTGTTTACTCCCCCCTCTTGGCATCATTGTTACTCACCTGATTTTCCATATGAAGAAAATGCCAGCGTGAGCCTGGCACGCTGAGGCCTGGTGGCTGCAGGCTGCAGAGAAGCCATAACACAGGGGCCTCCAGCTTAACTGTCACCCTTCCACAGTGGGGAGGGGGGCAGCTACGGCTCCACCAGGGGCCCAGCCTTCCCAACTGCTGCAGTCCTGCTCCAACCTGCTATGGAAGAACAGCAGTTCACCTGGAATGTGGTGTGATCCTAAAGTCAGGTTAAAACATGACATCAAGGCCCACTGGATGGGAAGACCACCAAAGATGAAATCTTTGTGTGCCCTCTGGGCAAGGCTCCAGTGTTGCTAGCAGTCCAGCTAGAGGGCTGGCTTTAGCTCTGAGGAATGTGCACTAAAATCAGCTCAGAATAAAAGTGCCAACAGTTCCCAGAGCCAAGGACGAGTGCTGGCATGAGGACTCCATCGCCCACCCATCAGCGATTCACTGAGTCAGTGAGGGCATCTTATGGCGTTTCACTCTATCTTGGAGGGACCCAGTGAGGAAATCAACAATAAGATAGTGCAGAGAGTGGTGAGTGATAACAGAACAGGGTCACAAATTAAAATATGACAAGGGGAAGGGTTGGTGGGGACATGACTATTTGATAGTTGACATTTGAATAAGAAGTCTGAATGATCAGGAATCCAAAATTGGCCATGAAATTTGATGAAGGAGCTCCAAGAGCAGGTGCAGTGGTCCTGAGGCAGGGAAGCCTTGGCCTTGGGGGAGGAGGAGCTGGTGCAGCAGGAACAGAGGGTGCCGCGAGAATGAAGGGCAGGGACGGGGGCAGCTCAGCAGGGCCCTGGGCTGTAGCAGCTAAACCAGGGAGACGTGCTTGGCATGTATCTGTGTGAGAAGAACCGGAAAGGGAGAAGACAGGAAATCCAAAGTGCTGTTAGTGTCACCGTCTAGTCAGTAATTCCTGGAGCAACTGTTGTGGCGTCACTGGGAGACAGCAGTGGACAGGCTATGTGAGGAACGAGCCAAGCTACCACGATGGCCTTGAGTACCAGGCAAGGACTTGGGATTTTGTATAAGGGTTTTGGGTGGGCTGGGCTAAGGAGTCCTCAGGAAGTGCATGTTAGTATCAGCCCAAGGGAGACCAGCAGCAGGAGAGCTGGCATCCCCAGTGACACAATGCTCACTGTGTCACAATAAGGATCAGCTGCACCTGCCTCCCCTCGACTATTAAGACCACCTGCCAAGACAAACAGGAGCTGCTGTGCCCCCCTAGTCCAGGGGGTTGGTTTGCTCTTAGTCCCTGGACTGTTCTCCTTTCTTCATTGATTGCATTTGGGAGACGTATCTTTCCCAGGGAGAGCAGTCTAGCAATCTTGGAGGGAACCAGCCACTGGGACTGCATCGAGGCCAAGCTGGGAGGATGAATGCAACAGCTGAGGTCAGCAACAATGGCAGCAGTGCCATGTGACTGAGGAGTCTTACCACCCAGTCTTTTCTAGACTGGTTCTCCTGCCTTCCTGTCACCTCTGCAAGCTTCCTCATTTCCTTCCAAAAAAATTCTTAAGGATGGTTCCTGTTGGCTGCCTGACACATGACTGAACCCCTCACCCAGTCGTGGGCACCCACAGGCCTTTACCAATGGGCTGGCAGGTGCCTTCTAAGGGCTGAGCAGGACCCCGCCCAGGCTGGCTCACGGAAGCTCCCACCTCCTCACTGCCTGGGAGGTTGGCATAAGCTGCAACTGAATGAATGAGCCTCCCACCAGTAGGTGTCAACTTAACCGTGTCAAGGTGCCTGCTCCACACTGGGTTTACAGAGGTAAACCGGGCAGAACATCCCTGCCTTCACAGATGGAGGCCACCCTACCCACTCAGTGCCCACAATTCATTCACTCTCTGCCTGGTAACAGCATCTTCAGTTTGCTCAGGACAAAGCCCCTCCTCACTCTCGGCAATGTGGTTTGGACAAGGCTGCCCTACCCAGGGCTCAAAGGTGAGCCTGATATGCTAATGCCAATTTGACCATCCTGTCCCACCTCTGTGAGTATCCAAATTGGGGCTGTAAGCCATGAGGATGTTTGCCAAGGTTGGGAAGCCGCTACATGAGACCCGCCCCGCTCCTCCCAACACCGGGCATGGGCATGTGAAGTTGGAAGCATTGCAGCCACTTTGCTACCAGGAAGAAGGGCTGGGTTTTCTAGGCAACTGTCTTGTAGGCCCTGGGCTTGCAGCCAGCTCAATGAAAATAGAGCAGAGACAGAAGTATGGATGCTTAGCAACACTGGAAGCATCAGGTCAAGCTTCTCCCCAAGGCTCCCCTCTAGTTAAGTCCTTCCTTGTTTAAGCATTTGAGTTGGGTTTTGAGTCACAACTAAAATGGTCCTGAAGAGAGACAGGGAATTAAAACTGTGGCAAGTATGCTGCCCCAGGGAGTGCAGAGAGATGGAGGACTAGGAGCTGGAGATGGCAACAGCACAGCCAAGACCTAATGGGAGGCAGGTGCAGCAGGCACAGGCAGAACACGGGAAAGGAGGTACAAGCTAAGGGGACAAGTGCAAAGGCTCAGAGGGAGAAGTAGGATTGCACTCAGAAACTGGAAGGAATGCTGCCCCACTGAAAAGAGGGAAAGGGAAAGGCCATGAGACGCGCAGGGGCCTCATCATCTGGCTTCGTGAATGCTGTGTGCCTAGATCCAAGTCCTTGTCAACGGAGTTACCAGGGTCTTAGCAGGGGTGTGCTGGGCTGACTAGCATTGTGGGAAGGTCTTGGGTAGAAAAGATGGAGCAGGTGGGCAGTTTAGAGCCAGGAGCAGTGAGCTGGTGCAGAGGGGTAGCTAGGGAGGGACCTGGCCCAGGGCAGCAGTGGTGGAGCTGACGGCCACCTGGCAGGTGGGCCACACAGGTGTGGTGACATTTGATGCCAGAGGCCAGGGAGGAGGAGGCATCCAGGCTGACTCCCCATCTACTGTCTGGGGCAGCTGATGATGGGCAGGCCTGTCAGTCACTGAGCCAGGGCAGAAGGACCCAGTGGGGAGAGCACACCTTCAGCCTCATGCCCATTCAGGCCAGTTGCATCATGGGCCAAAGGCGAGTTCAGACTATGGGGAAGTCAGGCTGGCCAGTGTTGGTGAGACACATAACCAAAGCTAGAGATTGGTGGCAAGGTCACCCTGAGCAAGCACAGTGAGCAACCCTGGGCCAGAACTGTGGGGGAACTCTGACACCTTCACCTGATGGGACCCAACCCCGGGGTCCCACTATCAGTGAGCTCCAGGAAAGAAGGAAACAGCCATGATGTGAAACCCCCACAGACAGGTGCACGACACAGATGGAAGCTGTGCAGCAACTGCTCAGTAAGTTTTATTTGAAACCTGCTAATAAGCGAAAATAAAGCACAGAGGAGATGACTCAGGTGAAACACTGACGTCTCTCTTCCAGCAGGGCCTGCAGCAGCACACCAGCTAGTGCTGCCTGGATCGCAAGGACTTTCTGTTCGATTTGGAGATTCCAGCCTCCCTCTCCTTCTCAGGGTCGAAGACTTCTGTACACAGAAAAGGCCAAGAAGACACTGAGTGGCAGGCCTGGCTGCACTCAACAGCCCATATTCACAGCTACATTTTACATTCCCAGGACCCTGTCTTCTAATATTCCTCACTGCTAACCCTCCTCCCCACCTGCAGTGAAAGGAGAACAAGCCCAGTTTATAGATGCACAATGCTGAGGGAGCTGTGGATACCATTCTCATTCCCCCCGCTGATTGCTGCTGGGGAGAAAGCTTTGTCTAGACCCGGTGTCACATGGCTTGGAATTTCTACTGGGTTCTAGTGAGCCCTTTGAACAAGCCCTTTGACTTGTGCAAATAAGTCAGCCTTCACTTACTGCAGAAGATGCTTCGACATGGGGGTTCAGGCCCTGCTGACACTGACCCCTGCATGCACGGAGCCCTTACCTGAGCAGCCCGTCTCCCAGGGCTCCCTCACTGCCAGGCACCAGTCCTCAGGCCCTGCACTTAGTTCTGCCAGCCCAG